AGTACGGATGCCGTTTGCTGTGGCGAGTGCGGGAGACGAGCAGCAGGCTGCGCGGTGCACAGGCGCGTATCTCGTCGAGCACCATGCGGCGGGAGAGCGACTGGCAGTCCATGTTGTTCACCTTGCAGATGACATCGTTGATCTTGAGCTTGCCAAAGGCGGGCGAGCTCTTGGTGACGCCACAGACGAGCTTCCGCTTGTTGCTGTCGTCCAGTATGATGCCCAGATCGACGGCATGGTCGTAGTTCGAGAGCTCAATCTCGAGCAGGTCCTCGCCCTCGTAGCTGCTCAGGCGGAAGCTGCGGCGTGAGGCATTGTCGAGGTTCTGGTTCTCCAGCTGCTCCTTCAGCAGATCAATCTTCTTTTGGGCCTCGTCCTTTTGCTTCTTGATCTTCTCGCTGTCGCGTATGGCCATGAGGGAGTCGGAGATGGCCTTGTCGCGCTCGTGGCGCATCTTATCACAGAGCGTCTTCACGGAGTCGCGCTCCTGGACGATCTTCTCGCGCTGCGAGATGGCCCAGTCGCGCACGCGCTTCGCCTCATCGGCATCCTGACCGGCGCGATCCACCTCGGAGAGCGCCTTCTCCAGGCTCTTGCGCAGCTTCTCCAGCTCCTTGCTGTCCTCCTTGCTGCTCGAGGAGAACTCCTTTGACCAGGAGCTCTCGCGCGACTTGAGCAGATCGCGCTTCTTCAGCTCGGCATTGGCCAGCTGCAGCGACTTGATTTCGGTGCGGCACAATTGCTCGTCCTTCTTGAGACGCTCGATCTCCTTGTTGGCCAGCACCAGATCGTCGGACATCTTCTGCGTCTCCTGCAGCACGTTGTCCTTCTCGGAGAGCAGCTGATTCAGCTCCTCCGTGAGCGAGACCACGTTCTTCGTCTCCTTGGACAGCAGCACCTTCAGCGTCTGGTTCTCGTCCCCGCGCTCTCGATAGTAGTTGCGCTCCTTCTCCAGCTCAATGTACGACTTCTTGTACTTCTCCCGCTCCACCACCAGCATGCTGCGCTCCTTCTTCAGCTCCGCCAGCTTGTCGCTGCAGCTGCCATCGCAGGAGGCTGGGGGCTTCCCGAAGTAATACGGATTGCCGCCCGCTCCCTGCGGCGCTCCCTGTGCGCTGCCATTCTGATTCTGATTCTGGCTCTGCTGACTCTGGTTCTCCAGCAGGATCAGCTTGCGCTTGAGCCGCGCACTCTCCTCCACCATGTCCGTGAACTTCTTGCTGTCCGCCACGTAGTGCTCCTGGTAGAGATTGAGGTCGGTGGCCAGCTCCTCGCAGCGTCGCTTCGTGTGCGAGTGCTGCTGCCGCAGCGTGCTCAGCTCCCGCACTGCCACCTCGTACTGCGACTGCAGCAGCTCGTATTTCTTGCCGTTGCCGTGCCCGCTGCCGGACACACCCACAATGGCTGTGCTGTTGATGTTGACGTCCTTGGTGGGCCCATTGTTGTTGGCCATATTGGCGGCCGTGGTGCTCCCACTGGAGTTGGACGGCGGACGCAGTGTGTTGTCATAGCCCACATACTCTGAACTCTCTTCTGTAGGTAAACCAAAAGTCACTAGAGATTGTTTTCATGGGACTAAAACTGCATCCACTCACCCTCTTGACTGCTCGTGCTGGTCAGCGAAAGATCTCCCGATGCCATCTTTGCCATCACAACATCTTTTGGACAATGCACAACATATAGATGAAGCTGCAGGGGGGGAGACAAAATGAAATGAGAAATTAATTTTAAATCTTTTGCGGGTTAGATCTGCGGCAGCTCTGAAATTTGTTCTGCGACAACCGACGAAACTCAGTCATACAAGCGAAGAGTGCAAATGCTCGAGAATAATTGCGTAAAAAGCGTTCTTGGAAAAAGTTATTCAAATGAAACCTCTAAAAATGGTGTACCTGCTAAAACCAAAGTTTAATCTACGAAACTTCAATCTGGTTATCCAGAAAAGTTAATCACAAAGCAAACTTTCAACTGGCTTATAATGTTATAAATAAATCTATTATCAATTTCAATCAAAGGTCTTCCACCGTACGTCAATTTTTAAAACTATACGAACAATATTTCGTCATTTACTCGTATCGATCATCCATTTTTATCGGGTCAACAGATAACACAACTGTGATTTATTATAAATAAAATAATTGCCAATGGGAACGAAATCCAAACACACAAATTAAACATTCAAATAAGATATTTACTTTAAAAACTTCCATTTAATAATCCATAACCAAATTAAATTATTCAATTAAAAACAACAACCGAGAAGTTAATAAAATAAATATTAATCTCAAATCTCTACACTGGAAATAGTTACTCCTATTGTTTAAAAAGAAGCCTAAAGCAATTTCTTTGCTTCATTAATTATCCAATGCATGGCCACTGCTCGCTCATGCCGCTCCATGCGGAGAGGAAAACCAAAAGTTATGGAAAACCAAAACTTTCACAAATTTTGTGAAACTGCCATTTTCACAATTGAACAAGTACAATTTAAATACATTCAACAAGCAGCAAGCAAAAATAACAAGAAAGAAAGACTTGCTATGAAACCTAAGACTTTGATACGCTTGCAGAACGTTTGTTTCTATGGCAGCTTTTAATATGCTTCACAGTCGAGGCTTCTGATACCCTTACAGGTTTGACAAATTTTAACAAAAGGGATTTTAAATAAATCAACATATTATGAACTTTGCTAAAGGGTATGAAAGTTCGACTTGAAAATTTGAAATTAATTTCCCATAAGTGAATCGAATATTATTCGTAAGTCTGAACTAATATGCGGTCTGCGGGCTTTCAATAATCAACATACTCCATTCGAGGGTATCCACACACAGTGGAGAAGAATCTTTAAGCCGTTGTGTGGTCAGGCGTGAGCCATCCAGAAACTTCATTTCGGCGCTTTCAGGGGGTAGGCAGGTGGGAGGGTTACTGACTTCCCTTTCCACGATCGAGAGCGCGCTGCGGCTGCGGCTGGCTTGTGCAAAAGAGAGATATTTGCGAGAGAGTTAGGGTACCGTGGCACCAGGGGTATGTGTGGTAATTAAGCAAAATGTAAAAGAGCATCGGGCAGGAGGCAGAAACTAAACCAAAGAATTAATTGAAGCAGCCAAGCAGAAAGCGTAAATTAATAGCAATACAAGTATGTACCACATACATATACATATGTATATGTACATCCTACAGCTACTACATACATACATGTATGTATCTTATAGATGTACAAATGTACATACGTATGTTTGTATATACGGGTAAAACAAGTTGCCCGAACGCGAGAGAAAGAGAAGAAAACGGGGAATTATATAAACTGCAAAACAGAAGTATTTACTGTTGCTTACCTTCTAGTCAACACTGTTATGGATGTTGGTGTTGGTATTGGTAGCACTGTGGCTGCTTGCGATGGTGTTGGCAGTGTAAACACAGTAATTGTGAAACGGCGAAGGTGTAGAAGGAGGAGGAGCACTGTCCCAGACAGAACAACGGCTCTACTGGCATTAATGATGGGTACTGCACGTGCCGTATATCACTATTTTTTCACACTAAACATCGGGCCAGAGACAGAGTTTATTATAGTTTTTCCACCATCCAAATGGACATAAAATTCTGCTGCTGCTGGCCTACACGCACGCAAACGCAACAGCTGAACGGGGTGGGGGGAAACACACGGAGAGAGAGTGAGTGAGTGAGAGACAAAAAGTGAGGCGAAAGAGAGAGCTCCACCCCAACAGGCGCAACAGGCGAATACGACAGAATGATTGAGACCACTCGAAAAGGAAAGGTAGCAAGTTATAGACAAAACACCACACAATCAAATCACTACGCGAACGATGACGAATCAGCACACGAAAACGTTAATAAAAGCGAACAAAAACTAACAAAAAAAAAAAACAATGCAAACCAGTGCGACCGCGGAGTTATCGATAAAATACACCGCTTGACCCACAAAAATATACCGAAATTTACCATCATTATTTTTGACAGATGCCGTAAATATACCGATTCGCAAAATCATTTTCGTCGATTTTGATATTCCATTTAATATTACCATCTAGTTAGGACTATCAGTACTAAAACTATATCTGTATCCGATTGATGGACAAAATGTGTCTGGGCTGAATGCCTTTGCTGCTATTTATATTTAAAGGAAAATTCAATATACGGGAATTCAAGAACTCCGATCATGCGGTTAGCGGCCATTAATTTTAAGACAGTCACACAGGGCTGTCTAAATAAGCACTGTACAACACTTGCAGTGATGTGATACAGTTCGTTTAAGTACCAACAGATGGTGTTTGCCCTTAGTTTATTAGTAAAAAATACAGATTTAATAATGATATACAAATATTAAAACTAAAATAGTTCATTGAGGGGGTGATTTTGATTGGAATCGGCGATTAAGTGTTAATTACACAGCTATGTATATATAGATATACATTGGCGAGCATTTGTGGATATTTGGTTACCACATTTCAGTTTAAACGCCTGTAAAAGCTGTAAAAATTATTAATCCTTCTGATTTTTTTAAAAAAAGATTCCTTAGTTTTTTTTTTCAATAAAAAATAAAAAAATAAAAATAAAATATATAACTGTCATTATTGTGACAATTTATCACGGTTTTAGCCAATTTTTTCGGGTTCCTGTTCTGCTGACAAGGGATATCCAGTATGGGGTTAGCACGTTAGAAATGTTCAAAATTTAAAATTTGCCAAACTAGTCTCCAAAAGGCTAGTCTAATATTCTTTATTCATCATTCCATCGATTTAAGCCAATGGGGAAACAATCCCGTCAGCCCGTAAGTGAGTATAGTACTTTTCCCGGTTCGGCCACTCCACGAATATATCTAAATTCCATTTAAAATCTACGTGATGTTCTCTAAAAACGAATGGAAAAGTATGAATCTGCACTAAAGGGATTGCATGATCTTTAGGTGCGCATACAATCCAAGTGGGACATAATAATGTTAGTTTTAAGTATTGTTTATTTTTATTGTCAAATAACTAAAGAAGCTATTCAAAAAAAAATTGGAAGAGTTTATTCTTTTTTACAGATTTTACACGCGTTTAAAGTTTAACTGGTAAAAAAGCATCGCTCCAAATGAGCCTCACATCATATTCTTGAAAATCTCTTAAATCCTGTAAATGCTGGAAACGTCGTTTATCGGAGAGATTGCCATGGAAGGTCCTCAATGAAGTAATCTTCTCCAATTCCGTGGCCTCACTAAAGTCGACCAGGCTTTCGAAGACCATGGTCAGACTTATCAGAGTGTGATGAGTTCTCCTCGCTAGGGCGGCAAAGTATTCTCTCAATGATCCAGGTTGACGGGGACCATCTATTTTGATATGATGTACAGGTTCAAGGTGGGCTAAAGGTGCTATCGCAATGTTATTTTCTGTAAAGAACTCCATTGAGAAGCCTAATGCCTTTTCGTCCCGATTGAACATTATTCCACTGTATTTGTTGCGTATACAAAATCTACCCTGACAAGCCTTCAAAATATCAAAGATCTCAGATGTCATGTCCACAGGAACGGCTCTCATCTGATAGGATATATATTCACTATATATATCAATTCTGGCTAACTTTCTGCAGGACTTTATAATTTTAAGGATCAAAGGCGATATCTTGCTAAACATTTCATTCGTTTTCAGATGCAGGTCTTCGAGTTCGGTTAGTCCAGACAGGAGCTGAATGTCCTGAGCATATGCAAACTGGCAATCCAAAGTTTGCAAAGAACTTATACGGATCAGTTCGTTTGCCTCCTCGGTATCGATCCTACCTGTAAGTAAGCGAAGCTTTTGTAGCGTCTGCGACGGCCTCGAGGCCAGAGCAGACAGGAGGCACTGGAGGCATCCTTGGAAAGTTGAAACAGTCAAGATAGTCAATCCTTCGAGAACGGGGAGCTGCGAAACGATTATAGACACTGCTGCCACTTCCTCAGCCTTGATATTTATCAACGATAAATTCGTCAAGTTGGTCGCTTCAATGAATCCATTGAGAATCGGCTCAAAGGAACACTCTGTATAAAGTCCGTCAATTGCAAGCGATGACAAACCTGGCAGAGTGGAAAGTATACTGTAGTCCGAGTAACTCGCACTCTTCTTTTTCAACAAAATTGAAAGTTTTCCCTTTGGATTGAATGTTATGCTGACATTGACTAGACAAATTGTCAATGCCGTCTTGGACTGAATAAGAATGCTCAGAACTTGCTCCGAAATTGTCCCAAAGTCGAGACCTGACCTGAGTATCTCCAAGATGTCAAGATTGGGCAGCTGGGACAAAAGCCCAATGTCCCGTGGATCGGCCGGTCTACACTTCACATATTTTAATGTTTTGATCTGAGACAGTGCCTGCATTTCTCCTTGGTCCATTGGTGAATCCTCTATGGATAATATTTCGAGGGCTTTTCTTTTATTGTCGGCGAATCCATGCAACAGAGCCTGAAGAGTGCCCTTCTCGTGCACGCCTTTGATTTTTAATTGCCTCAGTCGGGAAATCTTAGCCAGAGGCCTATACTCGCTTGCATCGCATTTGTACCACATTGTGAAGGTGAGCTGATCCAACTGTCTGCAGTGCGGAGCTATCGCGGCCAGCCTCTTTCCTCCTGTTTCCTTATTCGTGTACTCCAGAATGCGCAAGTTTTTATTCAGGCGGCACATTTCAACCAAATCATCAATATCCATCCGAACATTTAAACAAAGTTTCTCGAGGGTCGTAATTCTTCCTAGACCCTCTAGGGTGTAGCCTGAAAAAATTCAAATTTTGAGATTGAGAATAATCGTAGAGTCTAGGGCCAAAGTCTGAGGAACAAATCTCTTGCAGCGCAGTGTTAAAGCGTCGTGTGGCTTCGGCCAATGCACACAGAACTATGAAGCAACTCTATAAGGACGTGCCGGATTGCGGATGACGCTCGGGTGAGTGTTTCGGCCTCTAAATGTTTAGTGCGTGCTCGCTTGTTCATGCTAAAGGTTATGCCCATACGATAGTATCGTTTCACTCACACTTACTCCGCAGAACCCTTCCACTCGCACTCATAAGCAGCATCAATACGTGACAAACGGGCCCCTATATAGTTGCTTGATGCACAGAACCGCAGCAACGGTAAAAAAAAACGTCTTCGTGTGGCCATGCACAGTTGCTCGGCTGCCGCACCGGCAGAGAAGCAAGAAACGTTTTCGACTTTGCATATGACTGTCCGCTGACATATGTACATACATATGTGTGTACATGTATGAATACTCGCAATGCTCACCCGTTACTTCAATGTCCAACTCTTTCAGATTTCGCTTGTTTTGGAGTTGATCCATTACAGTGCGAAATACTTCCATGAATTCACTGTGGAATGATTTGGGAGCATAGCGCAATTTGACTTTAGTGAAATTGGGCCAACCCTTGCTGACGTGACTGAAGGAGGTCCAGTAGGCTTTCTTGTCCCTTGCTGGCGTGTTCTTCAATACGATGCTTATACGTTCAAGGTCGATGAAGTTAGTCGCACTGCAGATAAATTGGGCTTCCTTATCCCTTTCTGACGTCTTCTTATATTGGGCTATAATATGTTCAAGGTCGATGTCATTGTGTACAATCGCTCGCAGCAAAGTATTTGAAAGCCCGAAAAAAAAATCATGCTTCCATAAATAGATTAGATTCCTAAGGAGCTTGCAGGAAGCAGCCAAACTCATAAAATCGGCATACTTGATATCGTCTTTTTCAAATGGCTTCTCTCTCTCGCAGTTATTTTTCACGTACTTAAATATTTCAAAGATCAACTCTCTTGGCAAATCCAATATGCCCGTTTCGCTCATTTTAATTTAATCAAATCGTATGCCGATAGATTATTATTTATTATTTAATAGGCAATATTTTATAGGCTGCTAACTGTGTCTGTCGGTCGTTGGAGCTTCACTAAACTGCGGCCACGGCGATATTACTAATAGTATCAAGTTGTTCACAACAACTGTATCGGCGGTGCCGCTTATCTGCTGAGACCATGAAGTAACTATAAGGAGGTCTCGTCGGCAAAACTAAGAAATTCGTGCGAGTGAAAAGTGCGATTGAGAGGGCAACGACAATGGAGTGTGCTGATTACGAGCAAACGGGATCTGACTGCAAGAAAAAGCAGCGAGTAACTCTGCCACCGACGAGGCCTCCTTTCTTCATGGCTGAGACCAGCACAAACAGCTTTTGCATGAGCTTTCTCGCGTTGAAATTTACTCTCTGCATGGTTCGCTTTTCTCCCTCTCTCACTTTACAGGCATTTTTTAATACTTCTTTCTGTATTATTAATTGTAATGCGTATTACGTATTACTTTATTTCATGTTAAAGTTACTCCATAATGATATTTGTTTGTAGTACATAGGGAGTGTTCCGACATAGGGCATGGATTATTTGGAACAGACCTTATAAAACGTTAACAGGTTAACAGGCTAAATAGAAAAGGAAGTCACTCGTGGAGACTGCCATCCAGATCGAGATTAGGCATAAGTATTTCCTTCGACTGCCACAGCTAAAGATAGCTTCGGAATACTTAATTACAAGTAAATATTGCTCAAACACCAACAAGAAATGTATCAAAAATCAGAAATGTATCTTTGGAAAGGTGTTTGCGTGGTTATCTTTTTACTTCCCAGACTACAGGAAAAGCCACAGTGAACGCTGACCTGGGTGGACAGCCCTTTTCCCAGTATATTTACGGGTGTACGGTCCACTTTTTAGAGGAGAAAATGAGAGCCAACGAGCCAAAGGTTAACACCACCATGAATCATAGAGGCCAATATCAATCTGTATGTACTCTGTGGACGAGTGCTCTTCTCGCCCTGAATCGTGATAACATGCCAGAATCTTATCACACAACGAAATGTGGCTGGGTGATGTTTGTGGTTTGTTTTGTCCGTTCCCATCCCGGCAATCGCAGCGGGCAAACGGCCAGTTTGTTCTATCAATTTATTTATTAGACGAACCCAAGTGATATGCACCAGCCCAACCCACTGCTGCTGATGACATCAGGTTCAATTGGAATCATTGGCTGGACGGGCTGCTCAATTGAGCTTCAGTTGGGTTCCATCTGTGCTGTCTACCGGTCGCATTATGTGTCCCATTTGTGTATTGCTGATGCTGCTGGCCGCTCTGGTGGCCTTGATCTACATTTTTCTCACCTGGAACTTCAGCTACTGGCACAAGCGTGGCATTAAGACAGCCAAGGCATGGCCCTTTGTGGGCAGCTTTCCCAGCGTCTTCACCCAAAAGCGGAACATGGCCTACGACATTGACGATATCTATAGGTAGGGAAGGTTTTACCCTTACCCTTAGTTATTCGATTGTTAATGTTGACTACTTGCAGGCAGTTCAAGAGCACGGAGAATGTGGTGGGTGTGATGAACACGCGGATGCCACAGCTATTGATTCTGTGTCCGGAATATGCACACAAAATATTTGTGGGCGATTTTCGCAGTTTTCACGACAACGAAATGGGCAAGTTTGTGCGTAAAGTTCGCTCTTGTTTTGAGTTCTTGTTTTGTGCATAACAAATATGGTTTCTCTGTAGACAAACAAAAAGGTGGACCAGATCTTGGCCAACAATCCGTTTGTGCTGAATGGCGAGGAGTGGAAGGAGAGGCGTGCGGAGATAACACCCGGACTATCAGCCAACAGGGTGAAGGCCGTCTATCCAGTGTCGCAGAGCGTGTGCAGGGCTTTTGTGGATTATATTAAGCGACAGCAGCGCATGGCCAGCGCCGATGGTGTCAATGCCAAGGACATTTGTCTGTGCTACACGACCGAAGTGGTGTCCGACTGCGTGCTGGGCATCTCCGCGCAGAGCTTCACGGACACACCCACACCCCTGGTGGGCATGATCAAGCGTGTGTTTGAGCAATCCTTTGGCTTCATATTCTACACAATGGCCGCCAACCTCTGGCCACCCATTCGCAAGTTCTACAGCGTGGCGCTGTTCGCCAAGGACGTCGAGCAGTTCTTCTTTGACATCATGGAGAAGTGCATTGTACTGCGCCGGGAGAATCCGAAGCAAAACCGCGATGATTTCCTCAACTACATGCTGCAGCTGCAGGAGAAGCGGGGCCTGGACACTGTGCAGCTGACATCGCACACGATGACATTCCTCACGGATGGGTTCGAGACAACGGCCCAGGTGCTGGCCCACACCCTGCTGCTGCTCGCTCGCTATCCCGCGGAGCAGCACAAAGTGCGAGAAGAGATTGGCAGCAAAGATTGGTCCTTTGAGCAGCTGAGCGAGCTGCCCTACATCGATGCCTGTATTCATGGTAGTCCCGTCCCACACAGACCGCGCACCCATATTTCCCCTCTTTGATTTGTTCTTTTTTGTTTCATTTGCAGAAACTTTGCGCATTTTTCCGCCGCTACTGGCCGCCCGCAAGGTGGTCACTGAGACCCACGAATTTGCCAACCGGAACGGTGTGAGCGTGCGCGTGCATCCCGATGATGTGGTCATTGTGCCAGTTCAGTCGCTGCACCACGATCCAGAGTACTACGAGGAGCCGGAGGTATTCAAGCCGGAACGTTTCCTGGAGGCCAATGGCGGTGTGCGCAAATATCGGGAGGCTGGCATCTACTACGGCTTCGGCGATGGGCCACGCGTGTGTCCAGGTTGGTCTCTTTGCAGATTTTACTCAGATGTAAACTCATTTTCCCGCTGCTTACAGGCATGCGGTTTGCACTGACCCAAGTCAAGGCCGCCCTGGTCGAGGTTGTGCAGAACTTTGAGATGAAAGTGAATCCCAAGACGCGAAAGGACAACCAATTGGATGACACCTACTTCATGGCCACCCTGAAGGGCGGCATCTGGCTGGACTTTGAGGAGCGCCAATAAACCTAACCTAAACCACACACTTTTTGTCGTATTATTCACAAGTTTTGGACAATTTTTAGACTATTCAATTACACAGAATTTGCTTTAATCTCGACTCAGGGCTAATTGCACAAGGGGCAGCACTTTGATCGAGGATAAATCCGCCAGTATGGCCTCAATGTTGTCCAGGGAAGCCACCTGCATGAGGCTCTCCTTGCGGAAGCTTAAAATAATAATGGCAAACAGTGGCAGGATCTCCAGGCTGTCAAAGCCCAATATCTGAAAAGGGAGAACGAAGATTAGGCAAACGCAAGGAGGTACTCTGAGAAAGTAACGCACCAAATCCCAGAGGATGAGCAGCTGATCGGGTGGCAGATGGCCGGAAAAGGCGCGCATTAGCCACTTGAAGACAACTCGCAGACTGTAAAGATATCAAAAATCTACTACAAATCCTCAGAATTGCACTCCGATTGTACTCACGGTTGTATCTGCAGCTCACGGAAATGCGACCACAGCTGTGGCTCATAGGTCTGCAGGAGCTTCTCGAACAGCAAACAGAGGCTGACAATGCCCTGGGGATGCGTATTGATGGTGGTCAATCGGTGGCAATATCGTATATAGAATGCACGAAATGTATAGTACAGATTCACTGGTGAATCGTACAGATAGCAGAAGGGAGCGGCGAACATGCAAATTCCATGGAAGGGCACCACGCCCGAGGGTGGACCCTCGTAGGTGCGACCCTTCACGGGGAATGCCTCGTAGTCGACACAGCTGCCAATGTCCGTGTCGCGGGAGAAGCAGAGCAGCACCTGATAGAGCACATCCTCGAACACAAAGTACTGATCATCATTGGAGGCCGTCAGTTGGATGTCCTTGAAGACCAGCTTGTCCACAATGTGATCCGTGGTCCAAACTGTGTTACGCAGCTTCTGCCAGTGTTCAATGTCCTGCGGGAAGAGAGAGAGTGCGATTATAGCGAGGATTCTCATTTGTATCCACATTATCCCTCACATAGTCATGCAGCTTGCTGTCCAGCACAGCGGCCCAGAGTGCGCCTCGATATGGCGCCGGCGTGCAGCCCTTCTTCAGGAAATGCTGACACATGGGCGCATGGCGACCCTCCAGTATGCGCTGGCACTGCGTCGTCAGATCCGGCACACCCAAGTAGCCGTCACTGCGCAACAGATCCGCAAAGTGTGCTCGCAGCTCAAACAGATTCTTCACGGGCAGCGCAATGTGCGAGAATTCCCATTGAGGAATTTGGCTGTGCGTGAGATTGAGTTAAGCAAAAGCTGAAGGAAGGAGCAGGCTGCTGCTTACTCTGTACTTTCGGTGGTCTTGGCGGGTCCTTTCAGAGAGAGCAACACCTCCAGCAGATCCTTGGGCGCGTACACAGGTCGATAGTTGGCCAGATCTGAAAATTGCATTAGAATTCATGAACTTTGGAGCTGCATTGGCGCTGCACCCCTCTCACCCATGCTGTAGTTGCTCAGCTCATTCCATTTGGCCATAAAATCCTCGCGATCTGCGCTGATGCGTGGCTGTCCATGGAGTGGTACCTTCAGCTCCGAGCACATGGCGTTCAAGCTCTTGCGCACACGTCGATCCCACAGTACGCCGGCTCGCTTCAAATAGCCCAGAGGATCACTTAAAGTGGTTTTCTGCAAGGAAAAAGTACAACGGTTGATGGTAAGAGAGGGGCAGAGACATTCAACGACTTGCAGCTGCTTAAAGGCAATACAAAAGGCAAAGCAAAAGCGCTGTTAACAGCACTGATTAACAGCCTGTTACCTCGAGATCCGCTAACAGCCCACACGATTAACGATAACAGCTCACTGTTGGCGCTTTCTGTTAGCGCTCTGAGAGCCAGCTAAAGCTCACTCTCGCGATCCGAGCGTCTCAGTTGGACCGGCTGCACGTAGAGCTTTCATGTCAGAGAGGCTGCACGCATTGTTTACACGCAGCAGCTTTAATCAGACAGAAGGGCAGAAAGAGAAAGACACTGCTCTAAAGCGCAAAGCTTGTGCCTTTGCTTAATGTTACGGTCAAAAAATCATATAGGCTCCTAGCACGAACACAATCCACCCTGTGTGTGTGGGAGATTACTCACCGATAGCTGTTTGGTGGCCTCTGGCTTGCACAGACGACTGCGCACCAGATTGTAGACAATGTTCCGTATCTCCGTCTCCAGGCCGGCTCCCTTGATGAACACAGAAATGGATTTAGATATGGCTTATTTTATAGGTAATTCTTCTGTCTAACCTTGATGGCCTCCTCCAGCGTGTTGCGCATATCGATGGGATCCACATTGGGACTGCAGGCGAGACGCTGCAGCTCCTTGTAGATGGGCTCATAGCATTTGGTGGTCTTAATGGCCGAAATAACCCTCGCGGTCATGTGGTGTATGCTGGCATCCTGCAGCTCCTCCATTGTCGCTGTGTCGCGTGTGCGTGCCGCGTGGCGCGTGGCTCAGTCTTCCTCTAATGCTTACTACTTACTAAATATTTACTTTGTGTCGGAGCGGAGTTGTGATTAGCAGCCCCAAAACGTTGAGACTTTCTAACACACAACAGTCGTTTGACTTTTATCGATCAAACATTGTCTGTCGCCTGCTTTGATTTGGATTTGAGCTCGACTCAACTGACTGACTGCATCCGTAGCTGTCGTCGCTTCATAGTTACGGAATGCACACACTTGTTTGGTTTCACTCGATTCGATTTGAATTGGTTTCGCTTTTCGCTTTTCGCTTTTGGCTTTTGGCTTTTGGCTAGCCGCCCCTCGCAACCAACAAATTCCATTATAAATACATTAAAAGGCGCGTGAAATTGCCTTCTCGGCACACCCACAGACTTGGGGGCGGGCTGCACATTGCACAATGTGGCCAAGAGGAAGCTCTCTTTTGGCTTTGGCATCTGTCATCTGGGCCAACGAGTTGACGAATTGATTGACGCTGTTGCTGTTGATTGCCATGGGGCAAAATCGAAAAACCCACTCATAATGGACAAAGGTGGAAAAGCCCACACCACATGGCATTATATTTCCCCAAAAATACATGAAATTCGGCAAATTTTGCGTATTATTTGTTGCATTGAAGTACGTACAGGAATTGTCTGTACTTGTACAAATTTTCACTGACTCTTTCAACATAATAAGTCATCAAAGCATTCCTTTTATTGCTTTCCAAATGGCAGCTTTCTGCATTATGGTAATAATATTAATAGTAATTGACCCTGGCCTCATACCAAATAGAAAACTCAAACCATGGCGGTTTACAATGGTTGACTTTGCCTCCTTGTCCCTGTGGAGAAGAGTAGTCAGAGAATCTGAATGGTCAGTGGTATCTCCAGTCTAATCAATCAATTCTATCTGCAGTATTCACACTGATGTCATATAACAATTTCATTGTCATCGAATTGAAAAATACAATCTATTTCAAATTAAATGTATGCACATCTTTCTGGTAATTAATACTCGTCTGGCGGAGGCAATGCCACAGCTCGTTCTGATTGGGATTGTGAAATACCTTTAGGTAATACAACATTTTATTCACATCCCTCAAACGTATACAGGAACAAATGGAAAAGGTTCCATTTAGGATACCCAATTATATCGTCGAACCGACTTCGTCCAGTTCACTCAGAGTTCTGATTGTCGGACGAGATGCATCACGTTGCATAAACTATTTAAATCAATTTCGGTTCGTTCAGCCGGACGATGACGATTCGTACATAAATACAGACATTTTTGCATATGTCTGTACATGCGGAACATTTGTAATTGAATTTCTGAAGCAGGGGCCCAATTCGGGGCTACTCTAAAAATATTGAACGGAAACGAAATACTGAACCAAAGCCAGTCAGAAAATATTGTTTGGGTAATAGACTTACCTGATGAGCACTTAATTCAATTTGAATCTTTAAAGATGCTTTGATCTATATAAGAAGCTATTTTTCCTCAAAAGAAAAATCCAATACGCCTAGCTTATAATTAAAAATTCGAATTAAGTCCCAAATGATGGAAGTTCTTTGATCCATTTACGGAAACAGCAAGTGTCCCCCCAGTGGTATTTTCACCTCCAGGTGGGGCAAACTTTCGCTGTGAGTACGCTCCTGGCTTCTGTCATTTGTTGTGGTAATTACATCGTAAATCTTGCCTTAAATTGCATGTCAGCACCGGAATTAGAACTTGTGCCACCGGCAGTATGGTCATCATTGGGTCTATTTTCGCCGAGGGGGCATACATAATTTCATATTTTGAAATATGTAAAAACAATTGAGACGCACCTACCCCCTTCCCCCCCCCCCCCCCCCCCCCCCCCCCCCCCCCCCCCCCCCCCCCCCCTTCTGTACTGGGGACACATTCCAAAAGTGTTTCACGTTTTGTCATAAATAATAAAAATCAAATGACCATCAAAAGTTGCTGCTGCTGTTTGCTGCTGCCTTTGCCAACAAATGCCGCCGCCGGAAGGTTAACCCACAGATACTCGAACAGAGAACAACAGCAACAAAAACCCATCCCCAACCCCCACCACACTTGGGCGGCCCGGCCTGTCCATCTTCCTTGATGTCCATTTGCCTGTTTGTTTGTTTTAGCGCAACAACAAAAAAGTATAAACCCAAATCAACATTTTTGCGCAGAAAACAATTTGCAAGAGAGAGATAGAGAGAGAGAGAGAGAGAGAGAGAGCAGCAGCTGTGGAACTTGTGGAACTGGGCACCACCATGGGCATCTGGCCCACTCACGATCATATGGACAAAAATTGCTATAAAGTACTAAAAATACAATTACCGTGAGAAAATCGCGCTGATTTTGTGACTGATTGTGAAGACGTTTATAGTCGATTTTTAGTGACTGAGTGACCGACCGAACGACGGACAGACAGAGAGACAGCCGGACACACACTTTCCGCATGTGGGGGGAGGATGTGTGTCTGTGTGTAGTGCTGCTGCTCTTTGCATAACTGTGGCGTGCGCTGCGGCAAAAAAAAGATGATGGAGGAGGAGTGACGTCGTCATTGCTTTGGCCCGACCTTAGGCATCAGCCGACACCCAAAAACCGAAACCCAAATCCCCCCCCCCCCCCCCACGCAACCTGTGGGTGCACCTGTGTGTTAGCACTTTGATCTGATTGAGATTGTTGCGTCTGGGCAGAATCAGTCTACCTCCAATCCAGCCTCCTGCCACCCCTGCCGTATGCTACACTCCCAGCCGCATTCCGATGCCTGTTAATAAAGTGTTGCGCCAAAAAAGCTGAAAGCTGAAAGCTGAAAGCAACAAATGCGAGTACATATGAATGTGTATGAGTACCTCCCCCCCGTCTGCAGGATGGACAGATGGATGGATGAGGCTGCCGCTGCTGCCTTCTGACTTCTGCCTCTGCTGAGGTGGGCTGCCGCTGTCGCTGCCGCTGCCGCTGCGTGATGCTTCCACTAAGCAAATTATGCCGTTTATAAATAATGATCTTGGCCAGACGATCGGTTTAGTGCGCGCCCGCAGGCCAACGCAGTTGGAACGCATTCTAGGACAGAGAGCAGCCGCAGAGCAGACCGATCGGAATTGGAGATACCCAAACACACACACACACACACACCCACACACTCACACACACACACAGATACAAAATGGTATCTATCCGCGTTTTATTTTCCTGATTGTGCAATCAGCCGTGCCGTACCGTGCCGTGAACTAACGTTTTTCCGCTTAATGCTTAACGCAGGAGGACGACGAGAAAATGGACATCATGCGCAAGGCATTCCAAATGTTCGACACACAAAAGACGGGCTTCATTGAGACACTGCGCCTCAAGACGATCCTCAACAGCATGGGTCAGATGTTCGAGGAGAGCGAGCTGCAGGCGCTGGTCGACGACAATGACCCGGAGGATACGGGCAAGGTGAATTTCGATGGCTTCTGTGCCATTGCTGCCCATTTCCTGGAGGAGGAGGATGCCGAGGCCATTCAAAAGGAACTGAAGGAGGCCTTCCGCTTGTACGATCGCGAGGGCAATGGTTACATCACCACCTCCACTCTCAAGGAGATCCTAGCCGCTCTGGATGACAAGCTCTCCTCCAGCGATTTGGATGGCATCATTGCCGAGATTGACACGGACGGCTCAGGCACTGTGGACTTTGACGGTGAGTGCTGGATCCGTAAACCTTAACCTACTCATAGAGATGCCCATTAATTGTTGGACGTTTTCTTTGGCAGAATTCATGGAGATGATGGCGGGCGAGTAGCTGGCATTCGTTCATTCATTATTTGCTGATATTTAGACGATAAAACCAACGTGGAAAATGAAGCTTTTGGGTTTAATAATAATTTTTTATTATTTTTAAATAAATTAACTAAACGCTTTCGTACAAACTTTAGTTCTTGTCTTAGCTATGCGTCTCTATGCGCAAATACTCAACAAAACAAACTGAAAAACAAAGAATGAAAAGTGTGCAAAAGTGACGAACAACTGAAAGATCGCATTACACATTCAATCGCTCAATCGTTTAATCGTTAAGTTAAACAGTTTAGAGTTAGAGTTAGAGCTAGAGTTACTTGCGTATAAGTAAGTATTTACAGCATCGCTTATAACGATAATATATATAATATATTTATACCATATACTCCTATATAAATCTGTAGGTTTGGCGGCCCATAAAACTTGTTTGCCATATTTACAAAGAATCAAACAAAAAACAAAAGAACTGCAGGCACATATCGCCACATAGTACATGGTATATAGTGTATATATATATATATATATATGTATATTTTGTAAGTTAAATGGAGGGGTGAGAGAACGTTCTACATGTAAGCTTTCTGGCTTACTTCTTTCTGTCTTTACACAACGTGTCTTAAGGCAACTAATTCTGTGTTGATTTTACATAAGGCAGCATTTTAGTAACTTGCCACAAGACGGTGGCAAAGATTACACTTAAATACACTTAACTATGAACAGTACATAGAACTATATATATGTATGCAGCATTAACTCAATTGTTCCGATCAGTTCGGTACACAAAGCTGGCACAAAACTTAAACTTTTACCACAAATATTAATTTACAACGAAATTTTGCATTTTTGCACATAGAATATAGTGTGTGTGTGTGTGTGTGTGTGTGTTTTTGCATATAATATTTCTCAAATAGTTAAAGCATTTTTCTAACCAAAGATTTTTGCATTGGGCACTTAATGGGACACAGAAGAGAACTTATTTAGATACTCGCTTAAATGAAATAATTGGCAGAATTTCAGTGCCGCTGCCCTTAGCAATAGGCAAACAACTCTGACAGAAAGACAAACTTACTTAAGTCTAAGCAAGAAAAACTAACAGCTAGAGTCCTTTCTTACGGGAAAAAAACAGGGAAAAACTAAATGCAACTTAGGTCAAACCTAGAACGAGAGACTACACAACATAACTAATATTTAATATGCACTTAGGGCACGGGAGACCCTCTCCTAGACAATCTTCATGGGCACATCGATGAGGCAGTCCGCCTCGAGTCGTCCCAGCGTCTTCTTGACGCGCAGTGCCGTCAGTCGCACTGTGGGATTCGGATGCCAGCACTCCAGCATGATCTTGGAGATGGTGGCGAGGACATCGTCCTCCTGCCAGCGTGCTGGTATTGGCGGTCGGAAACCCTTGACACACACAACGGCGTGCATGTCCTCGAAGGTGGGATCCGAGGGCACCACATCGTGGTAGGGCAGTGCATAGTCCTCGCAGGTGGTTGTCTTGGTGCCCGAAATGGGTGTGTAGCAGCGGCGTGCCATCTCCCACAGCACCAGGCCCACGGAGTACATGTCGGCCCGCTTGAACTCCTCGAACTGCTGGGCATTCAGGGCCTGGCTGAGCACCTCGGGCGCCATGTAGCGCCGCGTGCCGACGCGTGTGTTCTGCGCAATGTGAATCTCATCCAGCTCCGAGTTGTACTTGACCGCCAGGCCAAAGTCCGCGATGGCGCACTGTCCGTTCCGCTTCACCAGAATGTTCTTGCTCTTGATGTCGCGATGGGCGATGGCCGGCTTGCCGGGCGTGCCGAAGATCTCGTCATGCAGATGGGCCAGGCCCGAGGCCAGGGAGTAGGCGAGGAGCTGCAGCTTCTGCGGATTGATCACCGACATGGAGAGGTAATCGTGCAGGCTGCCCATCTCATGGTAGTCGGTGATCAGCAGCATCTGTGTCCAGCTGCCATTGCCCTTGATGTCGGCCGCAATGAAGCCGAGTATGTTCTCGTGGCGCATGAGGACTGTCTGATAGATCTCTGTCTCGCGGAACCACGATGCCTCCTCGGTGGTGAAGAAGGTCTTGACGGCCACACGCTCGTCCCGCCACTTGGCCAGCCACACCTCACCGTACCGTCCCTTGCCCACCAGCCGCACCATCTGGATCTGCTTGGCGATGGTCCGTTGCACCAGCAGCGGCAGTCCCGAGCCCGAGCCCGAGCTCTGCTCCACCAGCTGGGACAGCGGCGACAGCTGAGAGTTGTACATGGAGTTGATGAGGCGGGGCTGCTTGCGCAGCTTCTCCCGCCGCTTGTACGTGAGGCAGAGTGTCGCCACAATCAGCATGAACACGGACAGGCACACAATGATGGAGGCGCACAGGGCCAGCGTGTGCACGGACTCGCTGCTCACGGGCAGCTCCGGCGCCGGCGTTGTCATCTTCGGCGTGAATGTGGGATGCAGGTCGCGATTGCACAGATCCTCCTTGTCGCAGCACACAATATTCTTGCCATGCAGGTGCGGTACAGCGGCCACTTTGCACTGCAAATCGCAAGAAAACAGAATTAGCAAGGCAATTCTTTGGGGTGGATGTGCGACAGAGGACTTACCATGAGTAGGCCGCCATTGTCTTCGGGTGGCATGCAGCCGTATGTGCGCTCTTCCTCGTACATTCCACTCGTCTCGTCGTACAGCTCCTGGACGGCACTGAAGCAGCTGCCGCCGGGTCGCGTCTCGCAGGTTCCATTGCTCACATTGCCTGGGCAACTTCCATCGCAGTAGCAGGTCAGGGAGCGGGCTGTAAGTGGAAGAGGGGAATAAGTAAGGTTCATAAAAAATTTGACTGCGAATAAAATACATTTGAGCATCAATCTATGCTCCTTACTGCTCCTTTTTCTAGGTTGCACAAGCGAAAGCAGCAGAAGGGAATGTGTGTGAATCAGAAAATAACAAAAATTACATGTCGTGTGCATGACTTGCAGAGTTTTGCTGTGCCTCTCCGTTTGCACTTTCGATGTGGATCAATTGTTAAGCCAAAATACTTTGAAGATGCTATAAAAATTACCTTAAATCGTTCTAAACATCAAGAATCAGATAGATTCGTATGCTAATACCCCCTTGCAATATCTCCCACAACAATCTGCATAATCCGCTTAGTGTTCATATAAAAGCAAAAACCACTCAATGCTTAAGCTACTTCCCATAACAATATGCTCGTAATCGTTCTCGTATGTAAACGATCGCTGAGCTGCTGCTAAGTCTGAGAAGCGCACAATCAATTGCCATCATAAAGCCGCTTAGTGTCCCACCCAGTGATTTTTAGAGAATAATCTGAAATGCAACTGCAATTGAGACCAATCAATCTACGGATGTAAATGTGGCAGCAACTAGGCTAAGGAAAACGCTCTGGAACAACGTGGGCTGTTGTCTCTGGCTATGTGCTAATTCCTGTAGAAAGTCCTCAAGCTTGGCCTTCTCTGTTATTATTCCTTAACCAAACTGTAGTTATATTCCAAGCAGAATCAAACAACTGTCCGGCCAAAGCGATTAAAAACGCTAGCAAACCGCGCACGCACTCTGCCATGAAAATGCGTTTGAGCATGAAGAGGAGGCGAGGGGCCGGAGCTGCGGGTAACGGTAACTCGGGCAATTGATTCAGGTCGCTGGCAAATCAGCAACTAATTACAAGCTCGCTGCAAGTGGCTGCCTCTTGCTCCGGCCATTCGGCAGCTGCTTGGCTGCCTCTGTGGCTGCACTTGGACAACAGCGGTCTTTGGGAGCCACAGTCTGAACAGTTATGGGTGGGCGTTTTTGTGGGGTATGCCCAACATATGAGCTTGAAAAAGAGCAATCCGAATCGCTACATCTCTCTCCTTAGGGTATCGAAATATTCGTGGCTTTTTCGTTCGTTTCGCTTTGTGGTTGAGTGGGTGGCTGAGTGGCTGAGTGGCTGAGTGGCTGAGTGGTTGCTGGTTCCCGTGACTGGACGCCGTCGTTGCCCGCGACCTGCACAATATCTTGAATATTTAATGGCATTTGCCGCATTGCAGTTTCATTCATAAAAACGCATTTAATGTCCGACTGAATGTGCCATATTTTTCATGGCTTAAAGACAGCGAAGCGGCTCCCCGCTAGACACTATTTTTAGACATTTTTTACAACGCACTTGACTATTTATAAGTCGTAAAGTGCATCCAGCACGTTTGCAGTTTGCTTTTGAATTCTGTTTGTTTATTATTATTTGTTCCATTCCTTATTCTTGGGCTGAAACAAAACAAGCTCTCAGGTTGCCTGCCATACCATTTCCATTTCCAGCCATCACTCAAAAGACACTCAAAAAACATTCCCACAAAGTGATATAAACTCTTTAAGCCGCCAGTTAAAGGTACATTTTGGAGCAGTGATTAATGGTTTGTGCATTTTTGTGGCACAAACAATGAGGCACACAAGTTGAGTTTTTCTTTTCTGGCAATTGCATTTGACGAATAGCCGCGATACGAGTCCGAGTCCCCGTCCGAGTGCCAGTCGCGTGTCTTCAAGGCTGTTTTGCAGATATTTGACGGCATGCCAATCGCAGGTACACAGAGCTGCACATAGATACACAGCCGCACAGCCGCACAGCCGCACAGCTGGTGCCATTAGATAGCTTTTGTGGCTGCTGAGCGAAATGCAAAATACGAAACAAATCAACAAATTGGCGGATGTTGTTCTGGTCAGCTACCACGCCTCCCATCAGCAGTGCCAGTGCCTTTGCGAGATAATAATTTAATTACAATTTAATAGCAAACGACAGCTGCTGCGGAGAGAGACACCAGCCGCGAGGCGGTTTGCTGGCGATTTTAATCGCGCCAAACGTGACTGCTGCTGCCGCTAAATATTTGCAATTGTATTTCAACTTTCATTGTCGCATCCATACATATATTACTCATACCTGTTGCTGCCTCTCCTTCACTCTCTGCCCGGATGCTGCCGCAAGGAGCGGCAAGACGAACCAATGGCCACGTAGCACAGTAGCCCCTTGCGGTGCAGACAAATTATGAATTTTTGTACACACAAAACAAAAACACGGCAAAAGGAAAAACCAAAATTATGAAACGAGCCGCGGACGAAGGCATCCGCCAGACAACGTCGCCGCTGAGGGGCAACCGACGTGGAAGACGTCGCGCTTTGAAATCAAATTGTTGCCTGTTTGCTGCTGCTGCTGCTGCTGCTGCTGCTGCAGGGGCAAGGCAATGTGGCGGCTCCAAGTTGGCGCCAAGTGCACGCGCCTGCCACTCAACAAAAAACCGACAAAAAAACTTGCTTGAAGGCCCAGAACAAAGCAATCTTCAGGTTGCTCACAGCAGAGTGTGTGTGTGTGTGTGTGTGTGTGTGAGTGTGTGTGTGTGTGTGTTAGCTGCTTGCAATAAACAACAATTTTTATGTGAAACTCTTTCAAACACGAAAAGGAAATTGCAGCAAGGGCAAGGGCAAACAAACATCAACCAGCAGAAAATCACAAAAATCATCAAAAAATAAAATGCTAAATAGAAGGCTAATAAAAACTAAAGTTAATCAGAGCCAACACTGGTCAATTGATAGCAGAAACAAATAAGTGAAGGAGCAGCTTCTCTTTATTTTCTGTTGATATTTGCCCTTGGAGGACCCTTTCGTTGTCCCCTTTTACCAGCTCAGTTGATCCCACAGCTAACCCCATTCGTGGAGTGTTTCCATGGCTGGGAGGGAGCAACCCTATTTGATAACAGACTTCACTTTAGTTGACACTAAATCAATTTGTTCAACGAATGTTTGTGCGAATGTTTGCTTGAGTGCTTAAGATTTGATAAGAAGTCGCGATGTGTGCCATAAGATTTGTAATTGAATTGAACTAAAGGTGCCACAGAAAGCTCTCTGTCCATATTTCTGTGTTGTTTTCCTCAGAGATTTATCCACTTTTACAGACTTCTTTGGCACTTGGGAAACTTGTGAAAACTTTATAGCTTCGCAGCGAATATTCCCATGCACAATTTCCTTTACTTTAGTTTCCAGTCCCATTGCAGTTCCATTTACAATCAAAGCAGCGCATGGCCTGCCTTTTCTGGCTTGGCATCAGGAGCCCGAGCCACATTTGGTCAGGCAAAAGCCCCGCCAGTCCGCAGCTTAGATTCCGACATTGACCCGGCAAACGTAATCACTTTATATGGATTGCAATTTTAATTAGTCTTTGGACTGGCAAGAGCAAACCATTAACAGTGCGCTGCAAAAGTGCGCGCACACACAGAACCAGAATATCGAGCAGCCACTTGCAGAACTCTGGGAGCATCTTTTGATGATCTACAGCTGGAAAGTGTGGAAGATCTTTGACGAGCTACAGCTGGAAATATGTAAGATCAACGTTCTGTAAATTGGTTGGGTTTTATAGTTTCGCAACGCACTGTCTGTCGTCTGTTGCATATGGGGAATATTTTATGGCATGATTCAGCTAACGATTTCCGCTGCCAACGCGCTCTGCGCTCTGCGCTGTCTCTCTCTCTCTCTCATAGATACAACTGGGTGCAGTTTCCCCCACAATCCGTTCATCTTCTCTCCTCTCTAGGCCTGTGGGATGTGGGCTGGGTCTTTAGATGTTTGCTGTGGGCGTGGGGCTGACTGCTGACTGCCGACTGCCGCCTCACTGTCGTGATCGTGCCGCAAAACATCGCTAAAAATATCTATTGTATGGGCGCCGCGAAGCTGCAGCTTGAGCTACTCAAGATCGCACGAGCAAATGCAAAATAAAGCCAAGAGTCGCTCTCTCTCTATTTCTACTCTACGTACTCGTAGTACAATCAGGTGGTGTGAGCTCATCAATGATCTAAACATTAGCGCCCAACTCTGCACAATCCAAACAAAATCAGCGGGGAAACTGCAGGGCATCAACAACAAGTAGGAATCCAAGTCTGTGACGTCTGCGGGCAGAGAATGTTCCTAGCCAAGACACGAACCCAACACACCCTGACGGAGGGAAATTTCGAGCAAGTCGAAATGGGAAATACTCTTGCTAGAACATATTTTAAATTTTCACTTTGTAAATGTTTACTACAGATCTATTTTTGCAGATTCAGGGAAAGATTTTCCAGTAAGAGGAGGAAAGTTCTTTCACAAAGGGAAATTGCATTCATATTAAGGCCTAATTTGAGGTTAAGAAATTGACTAACAAACATTTCCCTGCCCCACACAGCAAGAGCATACAAATTTCCCCACCTTACAATTTGTGTTGCCTTTCTGCACGTTTTCCGTTGCTCATTTTCCTTTCATGGCCCGTGGGGCGCTGCGCCTGTGGGCGTCTGTTTTCATTTTCATGGCTTGTTTTTTGTGCCATACATTTTTATATAATAATGTTCAATTTTATTGTTTAACGTAGGCCGCACCAAGGCGTGTACCCCGTAGCCGGACTCGTGTTGCCATTAATTATAAAAAAAAACAAAAACAAATTAAAATTAAAACAAATTTTTCAAAAACAAAAAAAGTGGGCGTCATCATTTTCTGTCGCTTCACTAAGGAATTGGCTTTGGTGGCATTTGACTTTTTTACTAGCTTTAGGCCCTCGTTTATGAGTGGTACTGTATCCTAGCCACCAGATGGATTTATTTTTATTGGCAGATTTAGTTTTTGTGTGGGTCCACGGCACTTGTGACTTGCTGACGTTGGCTTTTTATCCATCTATTCATTCACCAAATGTTTGTTTGTTTTGTTCTGTCTTGGCTATAATTCTTTTGGGGCCAATTTAGATGTGGGGCTGTAGCAATTGTTTGTGCGCTTGCCAAAATTTTATCAAGG